CTCCCCCCCCGCACTAGTCTTTGGTGCATGTCTGTTTCTTCCAAGGTATTTTGCTCCATACATAAACTGCTTTAAGTAGATTATTCTTTAATTTTGTTAAATCACTTTTGTTTCCAGCTTTTACTTGGCAGAAATCTCCATGGCTTTGGGGCATTTACATCAAAAGGGGATCATCTACAGAGACCTGAAGCCGGAGAATATCATGCTTAATCACCAAGGTGGAGATATACTGTAAACAATTCTATAGTAAATAATCATCTTAAAATCCTCCCACGCAGGTTATGGTCATTTTAAAGCCCCATAGTCATGTGTCAATTATTATATATTTCTCCTGCAGAATTTATGGCATCATGCTACTTGTTGAGATTTAAATATTTAGATATTTATGATTGATGAGATTAAAGGGAGTTGAAGATGCTTGGCCATTCAGTTACCTTTTTGATTTAATCTTTACTCTATAGCTTGTCATTCTTTAGAAATCCTTACATTATGTGGGGTGAGTCAAAGCCAGTCCAAACACAAATTTTGTGTTATTCCATAAATTGGAAAGTGAATCTTAACCTTTACAGACTGAGTTTTCTTTAATGATGAAAATACATAAATATGAGAAGCAATACTTTTATGATAATTTTTATTAATACTGTACAAAAGGACAGAATTAGAATTGAACCAAAATATTTGATGTAGCCTTGGAAATAAAACGTTTAATAGGCATCAGTTTATTCTTGCTGTTGGTTTGTGACAACAAACATAAAAATCAAACAGGTTAATATTCTTTACAGCTACAGGTATAATCAAAGTGGCCTTGATTATAACTACACGCTGCTACAGATAGTTCAATTTATGTGAAAGTAATCAGGGCTGGATAGACTTGGCAGTTCACTTCATACCCCAAAGGAGCAACTAGACAACCAGGAGGTCTGGTAGCAGCTGCCGATCCTTAGATGTCTATAAAATTCTTGTGCAGAAAATGGTATATGGACAATTGATGCCCATATGAATGTTTCAAATTGTGCTCCCTCCCCCTTTCCTTTTTTGTTTTGGAGAATGCTATGCTTAACCAAGTATATCATGGGAGTATATGTATTTCTCTCTCTTCCAGTTTTGCACCCATCACCCCCAACATGAATTCTGATTCTGAATTTCAACACAAAGGATAGGATAGGGAAGTGACTAGTTAACATCTTTGATTCATAAAATTGAGTGTATCAGGTGCTTTTGTGAAAATAAAGGTCATATTTCTTCTGTGTCAGAGTAAAGTACACATTTACATTTGAATCAGGCCATTGCCTCTTCCTTTTTCTGAAATAAACCTGGAATAGTAAGGTCTCTGGGGTTGTTGAACCACTGGATATCTAATGACAGCTCAGTAAAGCTCAGCTTGAACTGAAATTTTCTTTGTGTCAGGTGGTGAGTTTTTCACTCTGGATCAGGGATGATCTCATGCCATGTAACAATTTCATTTATTTTTCTAAACTGTTAGCATTGGCAGAATAAGCTAACTTGTTATAATGACTTTCTGAGACTATTTTAAGAACTGTCAAGTCACAGTTCACTGTGATAAAAGCTATGTATTTGAAGTAGAGTCACACCTTTGTTTAAAAGGTATAGAATATCTGTATTAGGGTCTGTGTACTTAAACCAGACTCACCAAGAAGTTTTCCTAGGACTTACTTTTTCAAGATGGTAGAGAATTCTAGGTATAGGTAAAGCTGGAGCCTTAGACAAGCTTTTTCACTTATTTATCTTTATTTTCCATTTACCAGATAGATAATCTCATTGGCAAAAGATGATTCTGCCTTAACCTTAAATTGTTAACATCTCATTTTATGGATATCTTCAAAAAAATTAAAGCAGAAAAAGTTAAATGGATAGATTATTGTCTTGTATGATGTGTTCAAATATTGCGCATACTTAGAAATCTCACAATAACCATGCTATGATCTTTTATTGTAGGTCATGTGAAACTAACAGACTTTGGACTATGCAAAGAATCTATTCATGATGGAACAGTTACACACACATTTTGTGGAACAATAGAATACATGTGAGCTGCATGTTAAAAGAAATATAACTGGTTTGGGGGTAATAGCTAACTTTTACCTGGTTTAAGTAATAGTGTGCTAAATTTTTTGTAGCATCATTGCCTTCATATTTTGTTTTTAAAATTCTAATTCAGATGATATACAAATGGGTGGATTTTTTAGACATATTATTTTTCTCATTGTAGGGCCCCTGAAATCTTGATGAGAAGTGGCCACAATCGTGCTGTGGATTGGTGGAGTTTGGGAGCATTAATGTATGACATGCTGACTGGAGCAGTAGGTGCACAGTTAAAAGCTGCATGAATTTTGTATGGTCTGTGCTGAGTAGTTGCCAAATCACTATAGCAAGAGACCTTTCCTATGCTTCTTGAAAATATTACCAATGGAGTTGTTTTTTTAAAATTTAGCACTACAAATGCTTTATTAGTAGTAGTAGTATGGTCCCCCGTACTTTTAAAAACAATTTCATTTAAGTGATCTATGTCATGGCAGTCCCGTGAAATAGACGTAAAAATAGATACTGCCCTTATTTTATAAATGGAGAAAGTGAAGCACAAAATCACATGGCTCACCCATTATCACACAGAGTTAATGGTGAAAACCCATTTTCTTCCAGGATATTTCTATTTCCTCTGTCACATTGTTTAAAAACTACAGGTATTTAGCAGTGCCTACATCACAGTATACATTTCTGATCTCTGTGCCTGACTAATTCAGTAAATGGTAATTATGTTATTTAAAATTTGATTTTTTATATGCTAATGTTTCTCACTCTCTTCTACTCTTAGCCCCCATTCACTGGGGAGAATAGAAAGAAAACAATTGACAAAATCCTCAAATGTAAACTCAATTTGCCTCCCTACCTCACACAAGAAGCCAGAGATCTGCTTAAAAAGGTAGGGTTCTTAAATAGGCACTCAACTACTAGGATTTAAATAGATAAAGATTGAATGAAAAAGCCTATAGTTTTTGTGGGGGAAGTACAAATTTGTTTTAAGGATTTTATTATTATTCCCAAACAATATTTAATAGTAACTAATAAATCATGTTTTCTGAAGGCAAAGTAGACAAGCAGATACTATAAAGAAAAAATTTGACTAAAGTTCATCCATGTTTTCTTTTTCCTCCCTAAAGCTGCTGAAAAGAAATGCTGCTTCTCGTCTTGGAGCTGGTCCTGGGGATGCTGGAGAAGTTCAAGTAGGGATTGGCATGTTTGGTGGTTTGAGGGGAAGATAACGCTAATTTTATGTATTTGTAAAGTTTGTTTGTAGTTGCTTATAAGTATAGCTTCTTTTGTTATCAGTAACTTCAAACAGGGAGTGGTCAATCCAGTGAAGTCTGTTCCCCTTGACTTCCTGCTTTTTTTCTAGGCTCATCCATTCTTCAGACATATTAACTGGGAAGAACTGCTGGGTAGGAAGGTGGAGCCCCCCTTTAAACCTCTGTTGGTATGTATACATGAATGCATATAATTTGAGGGACCTGATACTTTTCTAGAATATCTCAGAGCAGTCAGAAATATTATATTTATTAACAGTTTAATAAACTTTGGTCTATCCTCTTTTCTCTTCAGAATCTTCTATAGTCTTTTTAAGAACTACCTCTAGTAGCAATTGATGACTGTATTAATTGTTTTTAAGTTGGTTGCCTAAGACAAATATTTCAAGTACATGGGAATTTTTTTTTTTCTTGGTGCTTTGTTTAATTCAACCTTATTTTAAATTTGATTTTCTGGGAATTTTTTTCTTCAAAATATAGAATATATGTTTGCTAGGGTTGCAGACAAATATTACAAACTAGGGGACTTAAACCACAGAAATTTACTGTGTACTGTTCTGGAGGCTAGAGGTCTGAGATCAAGGTATTGGCAGTGTTGGTTCCTTCTGAAGGCTGAGAGAGAGACTCTGCTTCATGCCTCATTCCTAGCTTCTGGTGGTTTGATGGCAATCTTTGGCATTCGTCGGCTTATAGGCACATCACCTGATTTCTGCCTTCATGTTCACAGGTCATTCTCTTTCTATGCTGGCCTCTGTTCCATTTTTCCCTTTTTATGAGGACACTAGTCATACTGAATTAGGGTCTACCCTATTCCAGTATGACTTCTTAACTAATTACATTTGCAATGACCCTCATTCCAAATAAGGTCACATTCTGAGTTAGAACTTCAATATATGAATATTGGGGAGGGAGGTGCACAATTTAAACCATAACAATATGTTTATATGTATATGAGTTAATATGTTAGTTCTTGTGTTTCTCCCACCTCAGAATTTGAGGAAATATAATTTCTTTTTCTGTTTTATGGGATAAAGGTAGAATTGGAGAGGATAATGATGATTATCCTCTTGTCCTTGGTGCACAAGGTGACTTGCTTTAAAATTTCAACATACATAATTGTAAGGAGGATAATTAAACCCTCATATACCAGTTGCCCAGCTTCAAAAATTATCAGGTCATCTTGTTTAAACATAAACATAAACCTAACCACCATGCTATCATCACAGTTGAAAAACTAACAATTTCCTTATTCTCTTTTTTTCCTTGCTGGTTTGTTTCAATAAGGATTCAATTAAGGCCTATCCAGTTTTGTTACTATGTCTCTTAGGTCTCTTTCCATCTATAGATATCCCCTTTCAATTCCTCCCCTGAGAATTTACTGAAAAAACTGGACCATTTGTCCTGTGGGGCTCCTCACATTTTGATTTTGCTGACTTTAATCCCATGGTGTCATTGACCATGTTCATCTTTCCTTGTATTTCTAAAAACTGGTGGTTAGATTTAGATACTTGATCTGATTCAGATTAAACTTTTGATATTGTGTATTTTGCTCAGGAGACAGAATGTGTATTTTTGTTTCTTTAGTGATGTGTTTGTGTTTCTTTCATTGTCTTTGCCTACAACAATGGTTCTCAGCCAGGATCAATATGGCAATGTCTGGAGATAGGTTGTCACAGCTTGGGAAAGGGGTGCTACTGGTACCTAGGGGTAGAGGCCAGAGATGCTGCTAAATATCCTGACAGTCCCCTACAAAAGTTATCAAGCCCAAAATGTCAGTAGTACTGAGGATGAGAAGCTGGCCTAGTTTCAGGATTTCGTTAGGGGTTTGTAAAATCGTCTTATTCTAATATTGTTATTCATTCTTTATTTGTTGGAATTCTTCCATAAAGAGAAATTCTTTACATCAGTTGTTTGCTTACCTGTTCATACAGGAAAGGTAGGATATGTTTGTTTCTTTCCCAGTGTTCAAAATAACGAATTAGTTTTCTGACATCTTCTAAAATTGACCAATGAATTATGTGTTTGTTTTTTTAAGTATGATTATAAACTCATGCCTTTTAACTTATTTGTGTTTCAATCTATTGTAGTTTTTTAAAATTGATGTTCAGCTTTTCTCATGTTTGGACACTTTGTGCTTAAACACATTGGTTCCTGAGTTCTTTTGACACGACCTCAGTGTCTGATGTACCAGAGAAGGAATTAAAAGAACAGATCTGGTGGTTCAATTTACTCTTTCACAAGAAAATATACTTGTGCAGAGTAGAGTAGTAGTTTTGCTCCTTGAGAAATCTAAAGGAATGAAGTAAGTTATGAGAAGAAGCTTTAGAGCATCTTACAAATGTGTTTTGTGTTTAAACTCTGCCTTAATAGTTTTTCAGGTTTATTACAAACCTGCAGTGGCCAACTAATAAATTATTTCTAAAAAGGGATATAGCCAGTGGATGAGGCATATTGAGTCTTTGCGAGAGGGGACAATTGGTATTCAGATTTTTAATAGGAATGATAACTGTAAACCAAAATCTATGTTAATATATGTTTAAAATTTGAATATGTAATTTGACCTTTGACATTTTCCACAAAAATTCTTCAGTCTGACTGCTAAAACTATTCTGATACTACAGTCAGACGCTGTGAAAGCTCTATCTAGAGCCTTCTCTAAGGCTTGTAATGCCTGTAATGCATTTAATATATATAATAGATTATTCATCATTTTGTAATCATTTTTTTTATAAAGCAATCTGAAGAGGATGTGAGTCAGTTTGATTCAAAGTTTACACGTCAGACACCTGTTGACAGCCCAGATGACTCAACTCTCAGTGAAAGTGCCAACCAGGTCTTTCTGGTAAGTGAAAGAATTGCCATGTAGCCATGGGAAATTTAAATATGAGGGTGGCCCCGCTTATTGAAAAATAAGAAATGCCATTGTCAGTAAGAAAATTCATTTTGGTTGCTTTGCAGTTTGATGTAGATAACCTGAGGTTCTATTTTTTTTTTTAAAGTTATCCCATTATAACTTATCGATGTTAGAATATTCTCATAATCCATCATTTTATTTTAGCAGTTACAGTAGGAGTGTATGGTTCTTCAGAGTGTATGATTTCTTTTTTTGATGGGCCACTGACTTAAGGTAATGTTTGGCTCTGGATATCAACTGAAAGCCACATAGCTTAAGCAGCAGGAAAAGAGCTCACTGTAACTATTTTATTCCTGAAGAGCTGCAGATTTTTGATACTTTTAACATAAGTCTGTAGGGGATTTTTAGCCTATTAGTTATAAGTATTTGACATCGAAATATATTAGTTCATATGTGGCAGTTATTAAATTAATCCGCAGTGTAAAAGTATCTATTGATTTATACCTTGTCTCCTCAGATAGAAAAGCAAAACTTGGATTTTGATCAACAAAAAGGATAGATTTATACCTGATGACCGTCATTGCATATTATTTTCCTTTAAGTATGATCATATATGCTTATGTTTATTACTATACTTAATGTGTCACATGAACATCTACCTCATTTTGTAACCTTTGTTTCCTTTGTCATTTTGTCATTTTTTGGTCTACCTCTGGAGAGAATGGAATATGGGCAATATAATCATTTGGAAATTTTTTTCCCCCATTTCTGAGTTCACTGGATTTGTCACTAACTTAATTTTCAAGCTTTTTTATACTGCTCACAGTATAACACAAAGTAGTGTTGTATATTTTGGGGTAGAGAGTAAGTGCTACAGTTAGCATGGAATGCAAAAATTGTGTATGGTCAGAATTACTCTTAAATACTGTAATATAGTATGGTTTTGAATAAATAGCATTGAATAGAAACAATTCTATAAATGTATGATTGTGTAGTGGTATAAGAATAAAGCATATATGCAAAATATAATTTCACGTGAACACGTTAAGTTTATGTCTCCATTATATGAAGGCCTTATATCCTCCTTAGTAAAATCTCATGTTTAGTTAAGGAAGGTAGGCATGATTCATTTTAATTCTGGCATTGCTTTATTTTTTTCTCTTATGATGTGCAGTTTTGTTTTCTACTGATGTGATGTGGCATTTATTCCTTTGATGTAACATACAGACCTTTTCCTCAAATGAGCATTGCAGTTTCAACTAGTCTGACAATGTTTCCCCTCATAAAAAAGTCTAGAAACATCTTAACTAGCTAAAAAGAAATCCAAACTTGAGGTTGTAAAAGTTATATAAGCTAAACTTTTATTGTTAAAGTAGTGTTTAACTTTTCATAATTAGTTAAATTGGCTACCTAAAAGAACAATTCATTAGTTAGGTTGTAGCCAGAATTCTACACATAAAATAGATCTCTTTAAAAATTAATTAAAAAATGGTTATATCCACATACCTGGAGATTGGGGTTGTAGCAACTTCAGTTCAATAAACATTTAAGTTCCTATCACAGAATTAAAAGAAATTCAAAGATGATTAAGGCACAGCCTGGTCCTCTTGGTAGTTACAGCTTTAGCCCACTAGAACATGTGGGGAAATGGCCTCTGAAGTACACATGTAGCTGTCTCAAAGCATACTGCTCCACATAATTGCACCTCACTCTTTAGGGCTTTAGTGAGTCTCTTTATTATAACTCACAATGCCTACTCATACCTGACTAGAATAATAAATAGAAGGGAAGATAGGTGGAGGACTGATTGTTAAAGGGGTGAACATTGACAGCAAGAGAAATGACAGCTGGTAGCCTAATAATAGCAAGGTCCAAGAAAGAACTAAAGCTAACAAAACTACATATTTGTCTATTGCAATTGAGAGTTTTCACAGTGCTGACCTTTATTCATTAAGAAATTACTAAATCCATCCAGTCATTGATAGAAAACCAGAAAAATAACATGTGCCATGTTAGAGAATTCTATTTTTACTTTGGCCTAGTAATGAGAAACGTTTTTGGGGGATGATCATCTTAGTTGCTTATATGCATATGGTTAAAAACACTGGAATTTTCTTTGCATTTATCTTGATATTTAACATCTTAGTGTGGAGCTTACATTTATCTGTTTTTTTCTACTCCTTTCAATAGAGTGGAATTTTGTTTGATAGCCTGCGGGGCTCAATAATATTCTTCTTTCTTGAGGTGTGTGTGTCTGGAAAGAAGTTAACAGGTGTGAAATGAGATCGAGATGGGAGAGTACAGATTAGTAATTTTAGGCATGTATGAATGTGTTGTTGTGTCAGAGACTGAACAACCACATTTTCTTGATGTATATGACAAAATGCCCTTCTGTAGTCCACTGTTACTTTCTTTCAGGGTTTTACATATGTGGCTCCATCTGTACTTGAAAGCGTGAAAGAAAAGTTTTCCTTTGAACCAAAAATCCGATCACCTCGAAGATTTATTGGCAGCCCACGAACACCTGTCAGGTATTCAGACTTTGTTATTCTCAGTCTTTTTTTTTAACCTAGATGAGCCTTGCTTTAGAAATATATGCCACGTTACATAAATAAAAGATCTGTCATCATACTCTTTTTGGTTGACATAAGCATAGCATGTATGCCTTATTATATTCCAAGTGACTAGTCTGTGACTAATCAATGATAATATGCTATATAGTTTACCTTCCCTCCTAAAAGTTAGCTGCTATACTGGCAGATGTCCTCTTTACCCATTTGTTCCCCATTTGTTGTGTACCAGGGGCTGTGCTGCATGCTTGGGGACACATGATTAACACAGGAATTGTCCTTGTCTTGATGAAGCTTACAGTTTAATGAGAGGGAGTCAACAACAAACACAAAAGAAGGAAATAAAAAAATATGTAATTGCAAGTAGTGCCAAGTGCTATACGAAAAAAATTAAAAATATAGTGGTAGAGAGCAAAGAGTAACAAGGGGGCGTCTATTTACGGTGGTCAGAGACAGGCCTTACTGGTAAAGTAACATCTAAGAATGAAGAGAAAGAGCAAATCATACAAAAAATAGAAGTACAAGGGTATTACAGGTAGACCAGCTTTTGCAAAAGCCTTAAGGGAGGAAGAACTTGGCTTTTTCTTGGAAATTAAAGGTCACTGTTCCTGAAGGATGGTGAGAGAGGAATAGAATGGCAAAGGTTTGGAGAAGTATTTTATTTTAAATGCAATGGGAAGCTATGTTAAGTGGGAGAGTAAAATGATTTTTTTTTTTTAAGTTTCATTGAGGGTTTTATGGGAGCAAGTTTAGAGGTAAAGAGACCAGTTAGGGAACTAGCAATTAGTCTAGGAGAGAGACAGCTCAATTTTTGCCTTTGTGCTAATCCACACAAAAATAAAATTAAATGAAAATAAATGTCATGTTACCCCACTCCCTTTAAATATAAGGGAAACATTTCTTGTTGAGATAATTCTTGAGACAAATGAATGATAGCTCTTCCTTGTCTTAAAGCCCAGTCAAATTTTCTCCTGGGGATTTCTGGGGAAGAGGTGCTTCAGCCAGCACAGCAAATCCTCAGACGCCTGTGGAATACCCAATGGAAACAAGTGGAGTAGAGCAGATGGATGTGACGATGAGTGGGGAAGCTTCAGCCCCACTTCCAATACGACAACCGAACTCCGGGCCATATAAAAAACAGGCTTTTCCCATGATATCCAAACGACCAGAGCACCTGCGTATGAATCTATGACAGAGCAATGCTTTTAATGAATTTAAGGCAAAAAAGGTGGGGAGACGATTTGTGAGCATCCTGCAGGGTGAAACAAGAAGACTCAAAATGATAGTCTTGGAGAGTCAGTGTTCTTACATAGAACGCTTTGGACAGAGGAAAAATAAACATGGATTTTTAAAAATCAATCAATGGTGCAAAAAAAAAAAAAGCAAAATAGTATTGCAGAACTCTTAGGCACATCAATTAATTGATTCCTAGCGACATCTTCTCAACCTTATCAAGGATTTTCATGTTGATGGCTCAAAACTGACAGTATTAAGGGTAGGATGTTGCTTCTGAATCACTGTTGAGTTCTGATTGTGTCGAAGAAGGGTTATCCTTTCATTAGGCAAAGTATGAAATTGCCTGTAATACTTGCAACTAAGGACAAATTAGCATGCAAGCTTGGTCAAACTTTTTCTAGCAACATGGAATCAAAGACAAAAAGAAACTTATCAATTGATGTTTTACGTGCAAACAACCTGAATCTTTTTTTTATATAAATATATATTTTTCAAATAGATTTTTGATTCAGCTCATTATGGAAAACATCCCAAACTTTAAAATGCGAAATTATTGGTTGGTGTGAAGAAAGCCAGACAACTTCTGTTTCTTCTCTTGGTGAAATAATAAAAATGCAAATGAATCATTGTTAACCACAGCTGTGGCTCGTTTGAGGGATTGGGGGTGGACCTGGGATTTATTTTCAGTAACCCAGCTGTAATACCTGTCTGTAATACTAGGGGAAAAAAAAATCTATTTAATCATTTCTATTTGCAGTACTGCTATACGCTAAGCCTAACTGGAAGCCTTGGAATGGGCATAAGTTGTGTGTCCTACATTTCATCCTTGTCCTGGGCCTGCATTGCACTGGAAAAATACCACCACCTGTTTTTATACCAGTATTTGGTTCAAGACACCAAATGTGTTCAGCCTGAGGCTGAAGAAAGACAGAAGAGAGTCAGGATAAAATGCATACTGAGGGCGGCAAAGTGAGGGAGACAGGGAGGTCCAGGGGAAAGAGGGTGTTGCCATGGTCCACGCTCTATCTCTTTACAGCAAGTTGATAAAGTTTTAAGTTTTACTTCTTTTTACTGTTTTTGCTGTCTACCTTCCTTAAATTTTTCCTCAACAATTTTAAAAGGAAAAAGGTTTTTTTCTCCTATACTGGGGCTACATTTTTTGATTGTAAAAATATTTGATGGCCTTTTGATGAATGTCTTCCACAGTGAATAAGTAAACTTAGTGGCTTAATTTAGGAAATATGTTAACAAGACACTGTTTTTGAAATTGTAACAAAATCTACATTAAGTGATTTATAGGTACAAAGAATAAAAATAAAGGTAATTTTACCTTTCTTAAATACTTCCTGCCTTAAAGAGAGCATTTCCATGACTTTAGCTGGTAAAAGGGTTTAATATCTGCAGAGCTTTATAAAAATATATTTCAGTGCATACTGGTATAATAGATGATCATGCAGTTGCAATTGAGTCTTATCACCTCTTTTTGTTTGTCTTTTATAATGTCTTCAGTCCGAGTGTGCAAAGTCAATTTGTAATATTTTGCAACCCCGATTTTTTTAAAATAGATGCTGCTTGCTTTGTTCTCCAAACCTTTTTGAGCCATAGGATCCAAGCCATAAAATTCTTTATGCATGTTGAATTCAGTCAGAAAAGAGCAAAGCTTTGCTTGTTTAAATAGCAGTTCGAGTGAAATGAAATCCTATGACATTAAGCAAAAAATGAACCATGAAAAATGATTGGAAATATACCTTTTCAATTGTGGCAATAATGAAAGAATTGATAATAGTTCATCTTTGGACAGAAAGCCTTTTTTTCTTTTTGAAATCACTCTCTAACTCCGCTTTCCCATTATTGCAGCATCCTACTGAGAATTTTATAACGTAACTAGTAAATTAGCTACAACAAGGGCAGAAATTGTATTTCAACTATAGATCTTTATTCTCTCATAGTTATGATGTCTGAAAAAACAGACCTCCTAAAGCTTTGGTGATATGTATAGACTTTATTTCAGACTGTAAATGGCTTGTGCTACTCTTAATACTTGTTTTCAGATGTGTTCACTAACTATAGTGTTAACTGCCTGACCAAATTCCAGCAAAAATTTCACAACAAAATATTCCTCCTCAATCCTGTTTGCTAACATTTGCACTGTGATTGGCTGGCTATAACCACCCCATAGTTAAACCATTTTCATAATTAGTACTGCCAGCAATAGTGGCAAACACTGCAGCTTTTCTGCATAAAAAGCATTAATTGTACATCTACCATCCACACAAAAAGTGTTTCAGACTTAATATTGAGATTAATTTCCTATGCTGTGGCAAGGTTATTGAGAAATTGTTTCATAAATGGATATCCCTACTATGACTGTGAAAACATGTCAGGTGCCACTTTAGTGTCACAGACAGAAAGCACACACCTATGCAATATGGCTTACCCTATATTTATTTGTAAAAATCCAAGTATAGTTTAAATATATGATGTCAATATTACTAGTTTTGAGTTTCTAAGAGGGTTCTTTATGATTCTTCCAGGTAAGTGTATAAAAGAGATTAAGTGCTTTTCTTTCATCACTTGATTCTTTAGAATCAGCTATTACAAGATATATTTTTATTTTGTATACATGCTGTTTTTTAATTAAAATATAATCACTGAGAACTGAAATTTACTAATTTTGATTTTATAAGGTTTGTAGCGTTATAGAATAAACTGGGATTTATAAACCAGCTGTGATTAACAATGTAAAGTATTAATTATTGAACTTAAACCAGATTTTCAGGAAAATTGTTATTTTCTCCCTTTATGGTCTTAACTAATTTGAATCCTTCAAGAAGGATTTTTCCATACTATTTTTTGAGGTAGAAGATAATGGGGGCGGGTGGGGAGAAAGCATGTATGATGCTCCATAAATTCAACATTCTGTAAGTAATAAATGATTATAAACAAGATGCATCTTCAAAAGAATTAATATACTGAGCCTTGGATTTTATATTTAATATAGGACCTATTTTGGTTACTCAGTCATTATGGTTCCTAGCTTACAAGGGCTAGATCTAAGATTATTCTCATGGGAAATGTTGAATTTATGAAGTATGGATTTTGAGGTTTTGAAAATGGTTAATTTCTCAAATAAAAATATCAATGTCCAAATATTTACCCATTTTAGTAGGAGTAGACACTAGCAAGCTGGACAAAGCAATCATAAAAGTATTTGTCATACCATGACCTGTAGTCTTTTGCTGATTGATATAAAACTTTTCTTGTGTGATTAATTTACCACTATAGCACAGTATTATCTCAGTGGATTATCTGAAGTAACATCTGAAAGATGGGTTCATCTGTGTTTGCTCGTTAAACTATTTTTTTCCTATCCCAAGTTGGCTTTGCATCTATCTATCAGAGTAAATAAATTCTTCAGCTGCCTTATTAGGAGTGCTATGAGGGTAACACCTTTTCTGCTTTTCATCTTGTATTTAGTTTACTGTATTATTTGATTTCAGATTGAATGAATGTAAATAGAAATTAAATGCAAATTTGAATGAACATAAAATAGAAGTGATTTTTTTATTATCTTAAGATAGGAAGAAATAATTATCAAGTACACAAATGGTTTCAGTAATTTTTTTCATTAACATGGCAGATGTGTTCAGGTTCTCATATTTAATAAACTGTACAGCTGACCCTTGAATTAAAATGGGTTGGAATTGCATGTGTCCACTTACATGCAGAATTTTTTCAATAAATATATTTGGCCTTCCATATCTGCATATGCAAATAGCCAACTGTAGAGTCAGAAATTACATGTGGATTTTCGACTAATGTCTCAATACATCTAGTGTAAGACGGGTAAAGTTTTGTATAGGCCACTTATTTATGAGGCAATTCTAGTCACATTTGCCAAGATGATTTCTCTATAGAAGTTCTCAAATTGACTTTAATAAAACATAGAGTAGCAACTCTTAATGCCAATGACATAATCTTTCAGAAGGTGTGATATGAATTCACATAAAAAATGGGTTTTTGAATCCCTATTCCCCTATTTTTGAAGTGAAGGAACAGAAGTAATGTTTCCAGTTCATCAGCGTTGTTAGTGGATGGCATAGCTCTATTACATTTTCCCCCTCTTAAATTTATGTGAACTGCTTTCTTGTTAAAACAAACCCCACTGTCCGCTTGGGACTTGTTATTAAATCATATTAAGAAACAAAGCTATCTGTAATAGGGTAAATAGATATAAGTAGATATTATAATAGGACTGAATTAACTCATGTAGTAAGATGATGTTCTTGTGTTTTTAACAAGAAGTCAGCTCATCTATCTTTCACACCCAAATTCTAATCCCAGATTGCCTTTCTCACTTATCCCTTGCTGTATACTTAAATAAAAACTAATTAACTTCACCACAAAGTCAGAATGTGACATAAGGCCAAGCAAGCTTGTTTCAATATTTGCAGTGGTTCTCAAAGTAGATAACAGGGTTAAATATATCGTCACTGAAAGGACAGAAACAGGTGTAACTATAACCTGGCAATATTTGCCTGAGGAAATACTGCTGCCAATTTGGGTGGCTCTATGATCATAAAAGTGACAACCTGTAGCCAGTTGGTCACTATCCTTATTAATCTATATGTTTGTTTCACCTTTGTCTTATCAACACTGCAAATTTGTTTTCTACCTGTACCTCCTAACTTCTTCCCTCTGTCTCTTCCTTGTGTGCAAACTGATAGATGGTAATAGAAAAAAATGGGCAGAGGCTTTGTACTCTAAACTTAGATATAACCAGCCCTTTGGACTTATTATAGATCTTGATTCCCCCTTAGAGGTTTCAAGGGGACGAAGTGCCTCACTCTATTTCTACCACACTGCACAAATACTGAGGCAACCAGACCACACTATCCAAAGCTTTTGGTTGCCTCTGAGTACAAGCTTTAATCTCTTAAGTAATTGTGATTCAAGCAACAGATGCCAAATTCTTCTGGAGAAGACTAGTTATAAGGGGAATTCTTTTCTAAGATTTGAGTTGGTCTTGTTTGTTACACTATTCAAATTATCAGTAAAGTCATCTATTTGTAATCCATATGAATTATTTTAATAGTTATTTCAAGATAGTCCATGGCACTGTACAAAAAGCAAGATCATGAACATTAAAGTTGATGGCAGGATTGTGTGTATAAGATCCATAAACAAAATTTAAATCATCTATTCTCAGTGACTGCTAATCATACTACAGAGAATAATACAATATTAAAATTTATCATCTTCAGTAAATCTCCACTTAGAAAATCTGATTGTTACAGATAAAATATAGCATTTAGACTTTTGTTAAAAATACAAATTTTATGAGAATTTTAATAATTTTTAGAAAGGGAATTATAAAAGTCAGTTAAATTCTACTTTTAGATAATGTGTATCTTAAAATAGTATGAAAAATATTCTTTATTTTGAAAACAATGTCAAGAAAGAATACCTGAGTTCCTCTAAGAGCTACTAGTTCTAGTTATCTGTTTTGGTAACATTAACAAGAAAACACAATTTAACACTGAACTCACTTGTCAAAAAATTAGGATAGACTAAATGTTCATATGCATTAGGCTGAACATTACTTATATATTTTTTAAAACAGGGTTCTTCAATATTTTGATAAATTGGACTATAACTTTTAAGTCTTATGATAATCTAAAACCATTTGGAAACATTTAACTTCTGACTCTGAAAATCCATTCTAATATCTTTACCAATACTCACTGTAACCAAATGAAATCAGTGTTTTGTGGCCTTAATAGTTTATACAACTTAATATATTTGAAGGTGTGATGAAGTGGCTCCATCTTTCCATTTGTTTATATGGTCTGAAATCACAGTTCTGCACAGTGGACATGTTTTCTCTCTGTTAAACCATAAGGTAATGCATTCTTCACAAAATATATGCTGTAAAGGAATTAAGAACTACATTTTATACTTGATAACATTTTTGTTTTAAATTCACACTGTAGACGATCATGCCCTTCAGAGCTGAAAAGGCTTTTGGAGAACACTGATTCCTTCATTTTACAAATGAGAAAACAGTATGACATTCACGAACATAAAGAACAGTATCAGTGGTAGAGCCACTAGTTCTTTTGACTGTACCATCCATTTAATCACTTTTAATCAAATACAGGCTATCCTTATCTAGGTGATAACTTTAAGATCAAGTATAATGACTTAATGGCTTAATAAAGTCTTTGAGTAACTGCCATAAAGTATAGGAAAGGGTCTTACACAATCCAGTAACAAATGCAGGTCTTCTAAAAGACTAGTATCCAATTATTAAAAATAGCCTATTTTCCAATCACAGTGGTAACCAATTTGCATAAAAACCTCTGCATAAAACCATTAGAACATAAGGGGCAAGGTTTAGCTAATCTACCAAACCCCCAATCACAAATAAGAAATTACTAGTATGTGCTCTGAAAGCTACTTTCTGCTAAACATGAGTCTCCCCGCCCCCCATAACTAATGTGACTTTTGCAAGTCACAGAGAAGTGCTGTATTTAGGTTGCTTAAAAACGTAATTACCTGACAGATGAGAAGAATTGGCTTTTGAAATTCAGCTTGACATACTGAACAAATATCATCTGCTTCTGAACACTGTCTCTTGCTGGCAGCCACTCCATAACTCTGTGAAAATAAATTCTTTTCATCTACAAATTTCTTTCCTGTTCCTCCAATATGTAGCTGGTGCTGTATATCTCAAATCTCCCTGAAACTAGGCATTTGAAAACTCTCCCAAAGGATACGAACACTTGAGAGTTCAACTACGTATGTAGAACCACGTCTTGATGAACTGCATCAAAATGAACTCATTAAATAATACATAATATGATCTTGAAAGATACTTAGATTTCGCTGGACTCCCAAATAATGTTAGTGCTTCAAATTCATGGATTCAACTGGCTTAAGAGACTAAGCACTCTGAAATAAAACTATTATAAAATCTATATTAATGTTTCAGGTGACCCCATATTGCCAAATTGAGCCCACTTATTATCTATGGCAGTGGTTCAAAAAATCAGTCCAGAGCTTGGCTAACTGAATATAACATGTGGAGAGACTGTTTTAGAAACATTTCTATGCTCCACACTAGGAATTGATTCAATAGGTCCAAACATATTGGGATATGACAAGGAATCTAATTTTTGAAAGCTCTCCAGGTGGGTTCAATATGAAGGTTTGGAGACCACCAAACATTGTCTTGCCATTAAATCAAAATCACTTTATCATCAATCACCACAAAATTCAGAGCATTCAGTACTAGGAAAAAATCAAATTTTATAAAGGAACTGTAATTGCAAAATGTCACTTGTGTAGTTATACTGTCAAAATTAACTGGCTGAACAATACTGCAATTTTTAAAATTTCTTCTAAGGTCCTAAGATCAAATGTTTTTGATCTCTTCAAGATCTTAATAACTTCCACATCAAATTCAGCAGAATTTAGTCATTAACTAGATGTGACAAAATGTTACAAATAAGCTTTCTGTAGAAATGAGAAAAAAAGTGGCTGAAGAACATAGAAATGAGAGAAAAGTCTGACTTGACTCCACAACCTGAAGCTATGATCTAAACTTCTTGTACTAAATGTCAAGGGTTAACAAAATCTAAAACTCAAAGGATAAAAATATTAAAATTAAGATTTTTTTCAGGTTACTGATGACCTTGGTGCCAATTTCCCTTCAGTAAAATGTCATTTAGCAGAGTACACTGCAGATACTTATGCGACAAGCTTTTACAATAGCACTCTTCTCTGGCATTTTGCAGACTCCCTTCAAGAGGTTTATTTTGATGGTCATTGCCATTTCCCTGCAAAGTTAAGGAATATACATACATGTCCAGGACATGTGTATATTTTTGAGACTCAGGAATAAATCACTGTTGATGACTGAGATATTTTCTCTATGACTCATAGAGAAAGAATATCAAACTATTTCAGCACAAGCATTACTAATTATAGTAAAGTAGCTGATACATAATGACCAGATCTGACCAAAGATGAATTCTGAATTATACTGTATCTTATATAAAGAAAGAAGTCTGAATAGTAAGTAGCAAAACTTGTTATACTGTATCTTATATAAAGAAAGAAGTCTGAATAATAAGTAGCAAAACATTACTATCTTAGGGAAAGGGTGCCTTAGCCAGTTAGTGTGGTCCACTATGTAGATATATCATTTTTTTCCACCCCATCACACATTATTAGGTTGACATTTTTTTAAGGCAGAACCCAAGTCCTGACCAAGTAATTTACTCAATGGACTGCAAAACTGAGGACCAAACTCTGAAATCTGGTGACTACATCTAAGTACTGAGAACCTTGGAGGCTACTGAATAGCAAATGAGCCTATGACACCCTTTCTCTGCAATTTGTAACATCAGTAGAATCACATAATAATCACGTTTATAATTTGACATTGGAGTCTCAATACATTGTTAAATTCCATGCCACGAACTTATTTGTGCATACAGAATTGAGTATTGGAAGGGAAATTTTTCCAGTAAGAAAATTTCAAGGGACATAATTGTGGTAATGAGCTTTTTCATGCACACACTAAGTTACAGTTGGAAGAGATTTTATTGAAGCTGAATAAGGAGTTCACAGAAATACACAAAGCTAATATTTGTGGATTAAAAAAGGAAGAGGAACAGAAGTTCATGATAAGATTTTTAATAGACTGTTCATAAACTCTTAAGAATGTCAAATGATTTGAAGGGGTAAGAAGCACATTCAAATATATAAGCATCAACTATCAGGTAGTGGTTAATGTGCAGGTCAAGACACTGATCACAGCTAGAACTCCTAAGTCATTCTCACAGCTCCAAGTGCCACAGTACTAGAAAAGTTTTTTTTAAATCATGTAATTATTAAATCCACACTTGTAAAGTTGCTGAATTAAATTTTTATAATGAAGAAAGAAAGGTTAAACGTTTTTTCTTAACTTACTAATAAGTACTTACTGGTCGTGTAAAAAATATTCGCAAAACCCGTCTGAAAGTTCTTAGATGTCCAAAAAAGTCCAAAAGCTAAAAGGAAATAAGTGATAATTCATCAATTCAAAGAGCCATCTGCTTAACCCAAAGATCAAAGCTAAAGTCCTCAAATATCGAATACTGATATTAATTCTCATGGCATATCACAATCATTTCAATCTAAATATAAATTCCAATTATGGAATATTTTATTCAATTTATGGATTTCAACCAACTCCAAACCAAAAAAAAAAAAAAGTACATCTGAATACCTAGAGTAATAATTTGGTCAAGACAAATATAAATTAACTATGTCAAAAACAATTTTTCCTGGTTCACATGTTTTTAAAATTAGATTTTAAAATTTCATAAAGTGATTAAGTTGAGGGGAACAGGATAAGACACTCCACTAGTTTGAGAATTGTTTGATGGAGGCTACTGTTGCAGATGGATATGTTCTATTCTACTCCTCCCTTTCTGGTTAAGATAATCTATGCTATGTGGAAGTCCACTCCCCCAATAAAATCTGAGAACCACTGGATTAAGATATATTTCCATTTCTCCATTTCTCAGTAGATATAGAACTTGCTATAACTTCAAACTAGTGACATGAAGATAAAACAAAGCAGAGAAAAGCAATGGTATGTACAATCTGTAATTATATGAATCATTAATTCAACGATAAGATTTATGTTACCTACTTTTAGTATGAGGTAGAGTAAAGCCAGCAATATTCCAAGACTCCATCTAGTTACATTACCAAACTCCCCATAGCTTATAAGGTAACGAAACCAAACTGGTATGGGAATAAAAATTCGGTAATACTGACATAATTCTTCTAAAAGCATATACCAGTAACCCTAAAAATGAAGGAAAAAGAAAACGGCTACCAACTGCTTTTATATATAGCACAAAACACTTCATATTATACTGAGAACAGCATGATTATACAGCAATCACGAGATAACTTATTATAATCTTCATGACAACAGTGGTTAAAGACTGACAATCTCAACCTGGTTCTCACATATTATAGTCACTGAATGTTTGTTTTCAAAGAATTTTTAAAGAATGACATAATGAAAATGTTTTATGTATATAAGTATGTTTTTTATAAAAATTGAAAGGTTTTATTGAATATGGGAAAAACACTGTATGATAACATACAATCAGTTATCAATGATCAGTTGATAATGCCCTGAAGAAGTTCGAATCTAAATAATATTTTTCTATATATGGTGTGGGGACTGATTTTTAGATAATTTGAAGCAAGTATAATTCTGATTTTAATGAAATAGATTTTCAGGTTCAAGTCTTTGAGCAAATGGTTGCCAGTCTGAGATAATAAAATCAGATTATTTAGCAAGCTGAAAAATTATAAACAAAAGAGTCATTTAAGTAAAGACTAAATAGCATTAATGTGGCTTGCTAAAACGTTCAATAAAACATTAATTTCTTACCTTGGATTTAAACGGCATGATGAAAGAAGGCACCAATAAAATAAGGCATTTTAAGCCCATGAAGAGGAATTTCAGAATGAAGTCTGTAATTCCAACAATCCAAAGTACCTCCCAGAAGCTCGAATGGTCCAAAGTAGGATTTAAAAAAATTAAGCTACCAAGAGAAAAACATCAAAACTTACCAGAGCAACATACTAAAGTATTCAAAAGGGTTTTTAATTTGCTACTGAATATTTTACTTTAATTTGGTGTGTAAAATATGTGAATTTGTCAAGGTATTAGAGTTCATGTAAACAGAAGATCATTTCACTTATTTTAAAGACTTTTAAAATGTTTGAATTTCAGATCTTTCCTCCATAGAATTAAAAAAAACTATGACTAGCTTGTCATAGTTTATACCTTTCTAACCTGCAATCTAAAAAATTCACTGCTATTAGATATCTGCCATTTTCTCAACCAACTCCAATCAGGATTCCATCCCCTCCTTTCCACTGAATTGCTTTTGTCAAGATCGCCAACTCCCTCCATCTTGCTAAATTCAAAGGTCACTTCCCTTTTTCCATCTTCCCTCCCTGAATTTTCTTCTTCCTAGACTTCTGACACTACACTCCTTAGTTGTTCTCATATATGACTGATGGTTTCCTTTGCTGTTCCTCCTCTAATTGTGGGCATGTCCAGTCCTGGAACCTCTTCTCTGTCTACACTTTTCCCAGTTAGTCAAGTCCTGTGGTTTTAATTAACAATCATATACTGATAACACCAAAATTTATATCCCTAACCTCTACTCTGAGCTCATAGGATATATCTATAATCACTTTAACAGTTCTACATGGCCTCTCAAACTTAACATGTTCAAAACAAAATTATTGATTTTCCCTTCAAAACCAGTTCCTTCTCCAGTCTTTCTGAGCCCAGTAAATGGTACCACCATCCAGCCAGTTGCTCAGACTAAAAATCCATGCATCATCCTTGATTTTCCCCCTTCTACCTATCCACCCAATCCAGTCTGAGTGGTATTAGCTCCACGTACAAACTATATCCTAGATTGTCCATATCTCCCCAACTCTGCTGAAATCAGGACATCTAGTTACCTAATTAAAGCCAAATATTCAGAATACTCCCACTTGACATGGAAACTTACAAACTACTGTCCTTTAGCAAGTCTTCTAGAAACAAAGATCAAGTGTTCTCATCACATAATATACACATATATCAAAATATGTTGCATATACATTTTACATACATTTTTACATTTTATATACATTATATACATTTTTTGTCAAAAATAAATAAAAATCAACAAAGACCACTGAGGACTACCTGATGGTACTTAATAACTACTGATATGTAAGTAAAAAGTATCAAAAACTAAATATTTATTGAGCACCTCCTATGAGCCAAGGCACTAGGAATACAAATCTGAATAAGTCACTTAGAGCTTTCAATATTAGAAGGAGATGGACAGGTAAAAATTGAAGTCTAACAATAAGTATGTGCAAGTAAGATATATGCAAAGGGCTATGGAATACATGATTACATAAAAAATGTGATTGTGTACTTGGACCTCTAATTACCTGTAATAAAGTGACTGAGAATGAAAGGTGTAATATAAAAGAACAGAAGATCCTGCTAAGAATACCAGTAACCAAGCACACTGAATCTTTGAGCACCTTTCCTGAAAAAAAAAAAAAAAAAAAATTTTATAATTTGTTACTTTTAATTATGCCAGAATTTTAAATATCATTAAATCATTTTACTTTAATGACTAGTTTAACTCAGAATGTTTTAATACATTAATCTTATTAAAAATATGGAATATCTGTTAAATTGTACATCACCATACTTTTATATAAATCTTTAGTGAACAAAATAACTCATATTTAAACAAAACTTTTAAAATGCAAGTTTATTCATTGTAGAAAAACATTACCTATATTTCAAAGAAGCCAAGTCTTTTACAAGCTTATGCAAAGGACACACCTGAATGCAAACTTTACCTCTGCAGCTCCCTATTTTTGCCTTCCTGACCGAATTTTTTTAAATGCATTTAAGTTATCAGGGTTTATAAGTATAATTTTAAAATTCTCATTCAATAAGATTTTAATAAGATAATTTGTTTTTAAAGTTAAATTTTAATCACTAAAATGTTACTAGTTTTAAACCCGGAATTAAATTTTTATGGTTTGATAGGTTCTAACTACAAATTTCCAGGCCAGAATGTAAGATCTTTTACACAGATGAAATTTTATAAACTAATCCTACTTTTCCCAATGATTTATATGACCAGGACTCTCTTACAATTTGTTGTGGAAAAACTTCTTGGGCTTAATTTTCTTTAAATAAGAGAGACCCAAATAATTCAATACCCATATATTCAATGTACGTTTTGTTTAACTATTTTAAATCTTATAATGCAACGGTTAAAGTTTTTAATGATGATATTACTAAGTATGGTTAAACTAACTCAAAACATAAAGGCACTTGACAAATCAGATCAAATAGTGTATTCTAAACCTTTTAATCCTTTCGTCTAATTTTATTTTCTTTATCAGAAACCCAACATACAAAGAAAATAAAGTGAAACAATTCATCAGCATTAGTACAGATTATTTATTCCAGGTCATTTAGATAACAAAACTTAATATGTCATGTTACAATATACCTATTTAAATTTGTTACTCTTAATTCCTATTTCTGTAAAAAATGAGTATGTAATCTGCGAAAACATTTAAGAATTTTTTAGTTGCTTGTTATACTTACTCTTAGAAAAACCTGATTTACAATGCTTTTGTTTGCATACATAAAAGTTGTAAGCAGCCCAATTCCAAGAGAAATTCCTGTTAGAAAATAAGTTCTAGTTAATTGAAAGAAAAAAAGTCAACACAATGACATGAATTTAAAAGACTTGTATACAGTTTTAAAAGCCAGCAGAAAATAAGTAACTGAAATACATGAGTTAAAGCAGATTACCAATAAATAAAATTTACTTAATTTAGCCATGAAATAATTCAACATTTTATTATACTTTACCTGTTATATGCTGCATAACAAGTTTGACACTCAGAATCAAAATATATGGAAGGCTTTTTTGCAGCCACTTGAAGAGATATCGGAATTCTGAGAAGGAACTACTACTATGATCTCCAGACTCCATGGCAGTATCATCAGGCTGCCTTGCTTCGGTATGGGAGTGACTCCGTAAGCGATTATGTACACATCCATGGGTACAACTATGGACACCTGACCTTAAATTTCTGGAGCTTGGCTTTTCAGCACATTCTTTAGGTATGGAGTTGATTTGGATATGCACATCTCCAGAATGAAGATAAGAACCTTCTCCTGTCAACCTTGCGTGAACACATTGGGAGGCTGAGGCATCTTCACTGCCTGCAGCTCCTGGAGGACTGTGCAATTGGCTACAGTTGGGTTGCATGACCCTTGAATACTTTTTTGTGATCCAGATTTCTTTGCTTCCAGGCTCTGTATTCTAAAAATCAAAGAGCAGAAAACATTCTAAGTGAACAGTTAAATACAGGCAATATAGCAACATGAATGGACCTAGAGATTATTATGCTGAGTGAAATAGGTCAGACACAAATCCCATATGATTTCACTTATATGTGGAATCTAAGAAACAAAAAGAACAAACTAATCAAAAACAGACTCACAAATACAGAGGACAATTTGGAGATGGCCAGAGGGGAGTGGTGTTGGAGGGCTGGGAGAATAGGGTGAAGGGTTAAAGTACAAATTAGTAGTTGACAGATGGTCGTAGGGATGGAGAACATGGCATAAAGAATACAGTTAGCATTAATATAATGGCTAGGTGCAGAGCTAAAGAAGAGAAAGAGCAATTAGGGGGATCGTTTTATAAATTATAGAAATGTCTAACCAATGTACTGTATACTTGAAACTAATAATAAAATTAAATTTTAAAAAAGTAATCTTAAAAAAATACAGGCAACATATTGCTCACTAGCAATCCTTTATTCACTAAAGGAGAGGCTGATAATCACAGTAGATGAATTATTTTCAAGTTATCTGTCACTTGTTACTGGACTCCTCCCTCCCCTAGTGCCAAAGCTCTGCTGCCTTAAACTATCTTTTACTGAACATCTGCTACAAAAGAAGTTGAGCTACTGAGAGAAGGAATCAGCAAAACTGTCAAAGTACGAGTGCCCAGCAGATGTGAATAATATGAGTACTAGTACTCATTCACATTTGAATACTTCAGTACATTTACCCTGCCCAACTGGAGCAGTTTCATCTCTAATGTAGATTCTATATTTCATAAGAATCACATTTTTTAATGCTTGGAAAGGCTAGGAAGAAAAATCTTAATGCCTTGTTAAAAGTATCACCATAGAAAACTAATAAACATTTCACTTAGGTGACCTGCAAATTTTGTTTTATGCTGAAACAGCTTTCCCAAAGCTAATAAAAAAGCTTCCAATAATTAATACCAAAGGTATTACCTTTCCCTTAAAAAGATTACACAAATACCTTTAAAATAGGGAGACATGGGGAGTCACCATGTAATTGCTAGGTGACTTTTTAGTCTGAAAAAGGATAGATAGTTTGCCCAGTAAAAATGCCACCATTGGGGGTGTGTGTGGGGGTGGGAGGCGGGTTGTCAGGAAAGAGAACACTGGCAGGGAAGAATACCTAAATGACCAGTAAGGGCAGCCTCCAGGATGCCAGAGTCGGAATTCCAGCTGACGAAACGCAGAACCATATCCCTGTCTGCCTTTTCTGTAGGAGGAAGCTAGGGTTAAATTAACGTCAGGGCGTGTTGTGTCATTCTATTTCATTCTTAGGTCTGAATTTTTTTTTTTCTTTCAGTTACTGTACGGCGATTTGGTTTTCAGTGCCCTTCACTCAAAGCTTTCACCAATGCTCCGACGCCACAGCTATTTATTTCCTCAAACCTCTGACGTTGGGCGGGATAGTGTTTTTTTCCTATTAAAAAAAAAAAAAACCCAACAACATAGAAACCTTCCACTTTCCTCTATGCACGAGCAAGAAAGAGGAGAAAAAAGGAAGAAAAATAAACGCAAATAACTCTTCCGGAATCCCCAGGACAGAATTTTCCACCCACTTTCGAGCTTCGAGCGCTTTAGTTACTCTCCCCAGAGCCCATTCTCAGAGGCCTCCGCCCGCTTCCCCCACGCCTGACCTCTCATGACGAAGAGCGGACGGAGGCGTCGGCAGCCACTGCAGGGCGAGCCGGGGACGCGGCCCCACGGCCCTCAGTCAGGGGTACCACCTTCAAGACACGATACCGGCAACTGCGGCCCAGCGCGGAGGCGGTGGCGGCGCGCCCCCCCTCCC